TTATGAGTTTATAAATACACTAACTGACAATACAGAAAGTATATCTATTGATAATCATAATTGATAATAAACAATCCGTGACTGAGACAGCAATGTCATAAAAATCCAATTAGCTACCTGTATTTACAATCCCATGTGTATTATATATGTATATTAACTCAAAAATTGGAAACTTTAAATGTTTATATCTAATAAGCTAATAAAGTTATATTAAAAATTCAAATGCCATTTACTATTAAATTAAAAACTCAAACATTTTATTAAATTAAAAATATGTGTTACCATTTAAAAAAACAAAGTTGACCCCCTCCAAGGCATAAGGGATGAACTTAAAAAGTATTACATAGTTAAAAATTCAAGAATAATGTGTAACTAAAAATAATAAAAAAAAAAAATGTTTAAATTATTATTATTCTGCAAGTAATTCAGTGGGTTATGATAAAAAAATCACTCTGTATATATATATTTAATAATATCAAATTTAGAGATTCTTATATCTATATTCATTAACGAATTTTTTTATGCTTTACCAATGTGAGAAGGTCATTTTACTTTAATAAATTATATAAATGATAACTCTACAATAATAAAAAACAATTTTAACTTTAAATTAACATAAATAATAAAATATTATTCATACAATTATTTATTATAATTTTTTTAATTGGTAATATAATGTGAAAATTGTAATAGTTTGATCACACCAAATGATAATATATTATTATTGAGTTTTTCAATTTTGTTAGCTTCGATTCGAAGCTGAGAAGGTATTATTTTACTAAGATGTGTTTATTTATTTTTATTTTTTTTGTGTCTTTACCACTTTTTCTCAGCTCTCAACAAACCGATTTCTGTCAACGATGCGTCAAAAGATCACAAATCGTATCTAGTCGAAGACATTACCCTTCAAAATTGAAAAAAATTCCCTCGTTCCCCGTAAATGGGGGAAACCTCCAAAAAAATTACAAATTTAAAAATCGCTAATTTTCGAAATTTTCGAAATTTTTTTTACTTAATATTGCCATAACTTTATTAAAAATAACCAAATCAATATAATTTTTTTTATAGATGCTTGATGTCTTTACCTATCATTTGGTATATTTTTTTTATAAATTTAACCCTTTACCTACTCTCAGGGGGGAATTTAAAATGACAACTTTTTCACAAAAAATTAATTTTTTCAACTTGACTTTTGAAAATGTTTCCGAAAGTCTGACACTTTTATGTATATCTTTAATTAAAGCTAATGTAATATACTTTATTATGGAAAAAAAACATTTCGGACTTTATTTTATCTTCACGGTGAAATTGGCTACTGATTGCTATTTTTGTGTGAATTCTTTATCTGTATCATTAAAAATATATGTGTCATGATTGTAATGATTCACAATGTGCTATTTGATCCCGTGTCAATGATGATAGGCATTTTAATATCATTAAACAAAGAATAAAAATGTAATGCAATAGGAACGTGACTTTCTTGAGTCACATTATTTATAATATTGAGTGCTGACTTAAAAAGTAAACTGTTTTGTTCAGCACTATCGTTTAACCTAGAAATTAGTTTTTTGAATTGATACGATCACATTTGCATGTGCCCATATCTCTGTCTCCCATAACATCGTTGTACCGTTTAATAGACATATATATATATATATATAATTAACACAGTGACATACAGCAATACTAACAGGAGTGCGGACTGCACACATAAACACTTTTTGCAATTCACGGCCAATGTGCCATATTAAGATATCCCTATCGACAGTTGACATTTTACCATCTTCGCGATCACTACTTTTGCCTGATAATTAACTTAACTTCGCTACCCCGTATATTATAGTGTGTGTGTGTGTCGCCGTCAGCTCCCTGTTGGATTAATCATCTCTAGGTGTCCAGCAGGTTGTATTATCCATTTAATATTTCAATTGCTTAATAAATATTTATTTATATCGTTGTTAACCTAAAGTGTTATATATATATATTGTAGTGCGACCCTTGGTAGTTCCTCTAAGGGAATATAAATTAAATAGGAAACTTCAGTACCTAAGGTAGATATAGCCTAGCCAGCTATCCCCCGTTGGTCCCTTAGAATACTGTCGACGGGCATTTAGACTAAACCCCTAAATAGCGACGTAACAGAATTTTATATTTATTATAAGGTATATATTGCTTCTGAAATTTATCGTAATTTGATGAAAAGTTATTTTTAGAACTATTGTTATTTTGAAATTGATTATTGTTATAGCGTGGGGAGTTATTATTAAATCTATTACTATTTTTAAATTGACTTCTATAACGTGAAACGTTATTATTATTCTGAAATTGATTATTTCTTTGTAAAAACTTGTTAGATGAGTTATTAGCTTCAATGCGAAGCTGAGAAGTTATTGGTTTTACTAAGATGTGTTTATTATTATTTTTTTTTTTTTGTGTCTTTTACCACATTTTCTCAGCTCTCACCGAACCCATTTCTGTCAACGACACGTCATAAGATCACAAATCGTATCTAGTCGAAGACATTACCCACAAAAATTGAAAAAATTTCCCTCGTTCCCCGTAAATGGAGGAAAGCTCCAAAAAAATTACAAATTAAAAATTCGCTAATTTTCGAAATTTTCGAAATTTTTTTTACTTAATATTGCCATAACTTTATTAAAAATAACCAAATCAATATAATTTTTTTTAATAGATGCTTAATGTCTTTACCTATCATTTGGTTGGGTTTCTTCAAAAAAATTACATATTTAAAAATCGCTAATTTTCGAAATTTTTTCTATTCTTTTACTAAAAATTGCCGTAACTTTTTCAAAAATGAACATATCAATATAACTTTTTTTTATAGATACTTGATGTCTTTATCTATCATTTGGTATACAGGGTGGCGCACCACTCACTGACAACTTAAATAACTTTTGATCCAGTTAATATTTTTAGTTGATTTTTTTTTTTAAGTAATAGTTAGACGTTAGGTCTATAGCTATATCTCAATAATTAATTTTTTTACATTTTATTAAAAATATTAATTATTTTAAAATTTTAAATAAAAAGTAAAAAAAAAATCTAAGATAGCTATTTTGTAGAGTAGAATTTAAGAAAAATTTTAGTAAAANAGATTTTGTAGAGTAGAATTTAAGAAAAATT